AGGCAAGCACTTATTCTACTGAGCTATTTCCCCACGTGCCCCCTGCCCCCCAGTGCTGGGATTACAGGCATGTGCCTCCATGCCTAGTTCTGGGGCCAGCATGCCTGGGGTTCCCAGGCTGGCACAGCATGCCTTACCGGGGATCGAACTGGGGTTCTTGTGCTTGCCAGGCAAGTGCTTAGACCACTGAGCTATCATCCCAGCCCAATGTGGTGTTTGGAAATACATATTACTGTGAAGTGGCTAAACAGAGCTAGTAACATGCATTACTTTATGTACTTAGCATTTTCTTATGGTAAGCTATCTGTATTTACAGTGGTACCTCAGTTGCCACAAGAATTGTGGTACAAATTCCACAACCAGAAGCATGGAAAAAGTTAAGCTCAGGAATCAAGGTACCACTGTATAGGAAAAAAATTCTAGAAGGAGAGTTGAAGGAAAAGGTGGACATAATTTAAATTTTGATATATTTTCACATCCTAATAAAAAGACTCTGCCAATTTGTGCCAGATTGCAGCCTTCCTGGTACTCGCTATGCAGCCAGGCTGGCCTTGAACTCATCGGTGGTCCTCCTGCCTCGGCCTTCCCAGTGCTGAGATGGTGGCACGCACCACCACGTCCCGTATGTGCAGCACACACAGTCTCCACTCCTTCCAGTCTGACGGCAAATGCTCTCCTCTGTCAGAAGTCAGTAGTTCCCCCTTGTCTCAGGTTTTGCTTTCTGGGGTTTCTGTTATCTCTGGTCAACCAAGGTTCAAAAATACTAAACGTAAAATTCTAGCAATGGGAGAGACCATCTTCGCCTAACCTGTAATATGGTGTACGCCATAATCTTCCCATCTTATTGCTAGTTTTTGGTCCTCTCTTACTGGACCTAATTTACAAATTAACTCTATCATGTGTTATGACTTGTATCCCAACTGAGATATGTATGTATACCCGTGTGAAAATACTAGTGCACATAGGGGTTGGTGCTGCAGGTTTCGGGCATCCACCCACCCACAGGTCACCCACAGATAGGGGCCTCACTCCAGCCTCTGATCTACTTCTGTTTTCATGAGACCGGGGGGATTCCTGAGGGTGAAGTTTGAC